CGGGGCCCGGACCGCCTGGATCCACCGGAGAGGCGAAGAGACATGACTGGGGGCACAGGTGAGGCTGCCGAGCGCGCTGTCCAAGTCCGGGTGCGGAGCCGTCTCCCCTCGGCCGCTGCGGTTGCCTTTTATAGACGACTCCGGGGGTGTCCGGGCTGGAATTCTGCCTACATCGAGTAAAACATAGCTTGCCGGTCTCAGCAAGTTGGCGTAATTGGATGATCCTTCCTAATTAATAACTAACTTTGCCGGGCTCGTTTCCGTGGGAGGGCAGTTGCCCCGGGGTCGGTGGTTATCTGAGAAATGGGTCGGGCGGGGCAGTGCCAAGTTCATCATTACGTTGTAAATGGGCGCGTGAGTCACCCTTCATTTCCACCCGAGAAGATGCGCTTGATCCTGGCCATAGGGCCGAGAAGCGATCCACCCCGAGAAGATAAACGTTTAGCATCGTGGTCTGGTCCGGTGCGTCAAAAGCAGGTTTGGAAGTCCCGGAGACATTTTCTTCTGCTTCTCTTTTCACAGGTTTTGGAAGATGAGCGGAGAGCAGAAGCGGAGTTCCGGCTGTGCATCCCCGGCCTGCGGCTGCGGGCTTTGCCGCGCGTCCCTGGGTCTCTTCCGCGTGGGCCTCCCGCTGACACTTCTAAGGGCTGGTGGCAGTGGTCTTCCCCATACCCGCTTAGGCAGTGAGGCACTCACCCCTAACTGCTGGTAGATTTTGTGGGGATTTGGAGGGACATTAACTCGCTTCCTGACCCTGCACGATTGGAAGTAAACCTGGAGAGAAATATTTCATCCGTCTTTCCGGCCCCCTGTTTATGTAGGGCAGGTGAAGGCATAACTAGGCTGACCCTGAAGTGGGTGAGAATTCACTCGTATTCCCCGAAACCCCGAGTAGTAGGAGCAATTTTTAAATTTTCACTCAAAAATCGCATATATCTATATGCTTATAATATAGATGTTTTGGTGTATGTACGCACCGTGGAATGTGTAAGTCAAGATATTTAAAACATCCATTACATCACATGTTTGTATTTTCTGGTGAGAACATTGAAAATCTGTTCCCTTAGCAATTTTCAGGTGTGAAACACTAGGCTATGAACTGTATCACTTAATTGTGTAATAGACCTCCTGAGCTTATTTCTCCTAATTGAAATTTTGTATCCTTTGACCGACATCACTCCAAGTGTTTTCCCGATGATGTTGAGGATTTCTTTTTCATACGCCTTTGGGCCACCCATATGTCTTCTTTTGAAAAATGTCTTTTAGATCGGGTTATTTGTTTTCTTGCTATTGACTTGTGTGAGTGCCTTAAATGTCTTGGATGTTAAAACCTTTGTCGATCTCTGGTTCACGATATTCTCTCCCAACCTGTGGGTTATTTTTTTTTTCACCCTGTTAATTGCTTCCTTTGATCGGAAGAGTATTGTTAGAGTCATGCAGTTCCATTCATCTATTTGTGCTTTGGCTCCCTGTGTTTTGGGGGTTATAGAAAAAGATCTTTGTCTATACCAAAGTCAAGAAGATTTTCCCAAATGTTTTCTTCCGTAGCTTTATAATTTTAGGCATTTATGCTTATGTGTACGCATTTAATCCATTTTGAGTTGACTTTTGCACCTGGGGTCCAATTTCATTCTTCTGCATGTGGAGATCCAGTTTTCCCAACATAACTCGTTGCTTATGTGTTCCCAGCACTTTTTAGTTTTTTGGAAATGTGGATTTATTTCTGGGCTCTTTATTTTCAGTTTTATAGGTCTAAAGCTATGTTTTTGTGCTAGTATGGTGATGTTCTGATTACCATAGCTTTGTAGTAAATTGTAAGATCAAGTAAAGTGATTGTCTTCAACTTCTTTTTGTGGGTACTGGGGTTTGAACTTGGGACTTTGAGCTTGTGAGGCACGGAGCGGCACCACTGAGCTAAGTCCCTGGGCCTGTTTTAACTTTGTTTTCTTTTTTCTCACTGTCAAACCATTCACAATCTTTTGTGGTCCCATATAAATGAATCTATGATATCTGTGTTTGTAATGTCTTAACTTTTATTTCTGGTTTTATCTCTCTCTCTCTCTCTCTCTCTCTCTCTCTCTCTTTCCCTCCTCTCTCTCCCTCTCTCTGTCTGTCTAGCTAAGCTCTGTCAATTTTGTTTATCTTTCTAAACAATCAAATTTTAGTTTTGTTGCTCTTTTAAATTGTTTTCCTTATCTTTATTTTTGGGCTTGGTTCCTTCTTTATATATATATTTTTTCTTGAGTGTTATGATAGGTTATTTTATTTGAGATCTTTCTTCTTCTTTAATGTGGTTATTTATCAACTTCTATCTCACAATTATCATATCCCATACATTTTGTTATGTTGTTTTTCCATCTGCAGTTGTCTCAAGGTTTAAAAAAATTGGTCCTTTGACCCACTGGTAGTTTGGGTACATGTTATTTAACTTTCATGTATTTGTGAAATTTCCAAAGTTCCCCATTATATTAGTTTCATACCATTGCCATCAGAAAAAATACTTAATGTGACTTCAGTCTTCTTATATTTGTTGCAAACTTGTTTTGTGGCTTAACCTATATGATCTCACTGAAAAGTTGCTATGCATTCTCACCATGAGTAATCTGGAAGGAATCATTTCTCCTCCACAATGCTGATTTTTAAGGTCTTCTTCCCTTTGTATTATGACTTTACTGATTTTTGTATATGTATATTGCCTTTGATTTGGTCTGTTTCACAGTTGGCGGTTCACAATTAAAGATGCCCAGTAAGAATTTTGAGATTTGTCAAATATTAGTAACTGCTTTTTTAAAAACTTTTTTTGCATATACCGCTGACTTTTTGGAAACAAGGAAGAACACATAAGCTTTGTAGCTTTTGTTTCAAGATGTATGGCCAGTCATTAAAATCGTGCACTTCAGAGTAATAGTTTATGCTGAGATTAACTATAAATGTGTCTTGCATAGGTAGAAAAGGGCCAGGGATTTAGCTCAGTGGTTCCACTGCCTGACTCACAAGCGCGAGGTCCCAAGTTTGATCCCCAGTGCCAAAAAAACAAAACAAAACAAAACACAAAAACACAACCATAGGTAGACAAGTTTATCTGTTTAAGGAAGAAAAAGTGAACTCAGAAATGGAAGTTAGATGGGTCTTGGAACAAAATAAAAAGGAATTCTGTTGGGAACAAGCAGGAATGGCTAGCACTGACAGTTACAAGAGAAAGAAGGCCCGACGCTGTGTTTGCAAGAAGGTCAGTAAGCCGAGTGTCCTGAGAGGGCAGAGGAAGAGAGCTGGGCTGGGCCCCGACTTCTTGGAGATTGATCCTCTACGTGACCTTATAGTCGGGTGGGGGAGAAAGAGAGAGAGAGAGCAGGAGAGAGAGAGAGAGAGAGAGGGAAAATAATGAAACATAATGAGGGGAATTGTAGCCTGAGAAATGGGGGCATCCAGTGACCAGGACTTAATATCGGGGTGTTGTCAGGGTTTTGCGAAGGAATAGATTAATACAGGACACATAATTTTGGGACTATTTTATAACATTCACTCAAAAAAGTCAAATGTGGAGCAGTACAAGAGATCTGCCTGAGCGCTAGAGACCAGAAGAATCCAGTCAAGGGCCTGGAGCCCACAGCAATGTCTCACGCTCTTCTGCATCGGGAAGGCCCAAGGGCCAGTGGTGGAAGCCGGGAAGTCTGTGCCAGTGGGGTGAAGGGTCTGCGCCGCCAGGCTGAGGGAGCTGCACCGGAGCCCGGAAGCCACGGCCCAGGGGAGGAGCAGAGCTCCCCTGACGGGACGAGCAGCCGTCCCCAGTGAGAGTGAGGACTCCAGCTCTTCCAAGGAGAGCAGCCAAGTTCGTATGGGGGGAACCATCCATAGCAGCCTTCTCCAGGCAAACCAACAGTGCACAGCCTTTCCCTCCAGGTCTCCTTTATGCCATTGGCAGCACTCAGGCGGGTCGTCCACACCCAGACCACGCTCATTCAGTTCCTCTGGGTGCTCCAAGCTGACCGTTAGTTCAGCCACCACACGGGGCGAAGCAGGGAAGTGCTGGAGAGGAGCTGGGGTGGGTGACTAAAGAAGAAAAGAGCCAGGCGGAGCGTAGGCCAACTACACTAGAAGCCGTGCTCCTGGCACTGTGACCCATGGTTATGCACACAAGAAAGTGCCTGTTTGTAGCCTTCCTTTGGTGGCAGTGGGGATTTCCGTTAGAAAACAGAACGTACGCTGGTGAAATTTCTATAGCAATTGAGTTGTGCAGCAGGACTCTGTTGCCACATAGCAGCTGTGTAGACCCAGTGAAATTCCTCAATCGCTCTCAATATCTGTTTCCTCCTGCATAAAGGTAAAACGCCTAACTCATAAGCTTTTACCAAGATGAAACTGACGCATATATGTAAAAGAAGTTCAAGCTTACTCAGTAGGTGAGCAGAGAAGACGAAGAATCAGGTATTGTCACTCGAGCTCTGCAACCAAAGCACATCTAACCCAACTTACTCCAACTCCACACCTCTGAGATCACAGCCCTGACCATTACAGTCGGGGCCGTTCATCACCAGAAGGGCCCTGCAAAGGTGATGTGTAGCTATTTCTCCACCTTAGAAACTGTCTTCAGGTGGAGGGCAGCTTCTTCACACAGGAGCTGGGAGAGGCATCATCACCCTGACCTGATCTCTTCAGCACTATTGGGCCATTCTGAATCCCACACCACCTGCCCACCAGTTTGTCGGGACCCTCTTGCGATACCCTCTTGTGAAAGTTTGGAAACTTAGGTGCTAAAAGAGCCCCCTGCCTTCTTCAACTCCAAGTGACAGAACCACTTTCTTTCTTTCTTTCTTTTTTGGTTTTTAGAGACAGGGTCTCACTATGTAGTTGAGACTGACCTGGAACTCACTATGTAGCCCAGGCTGGTCTTGAACTCACAGCGATCCTCCTGCCTCAGCCTCCCGAGTGCTGGGATTACAGGCATGCGCCACCATGCCCGGCTTGACAGAACCACTTTAGCTCAGCCCTCTGCTGTTGTCCAGCCCCGGTGGCTCTTCCCAAAATAATTGGCCCCAAATCTGTGCCGGTGGACGTGGACCAGGCTGAGAATGCTCCTCACGTTAGCCTTATGCAGTCTCATGGTAGGAGCAGGGAGGTGCAACGCATTACCAAATAGAAATTAAATGGGTGTGATCTTGCCCAAACCTAGTGAGATCAGATCATTTACATAGTTAAGCAGGGACATATCTGAGGCCAGAAATTAGGGCTTGTGATCTTTCCAATTTATCCTGCTACTAATGGAGGTAAATGTGTCTGTGACGCGAAGCTCATTATTTTATTAGCATGTCCTTAGTGCTGTGTACGTGAGGCTCAGCTGTGGAAGTTAAAAAAGACAAATTTTATAGACAAAAACCCTTGCAACAGAAGAATTTGTAATGAGACGGCAAAAGACCCCTGAAAATAAGATGAAACTAGGGAGAGAGCAGGATTTTTTTTCTTCTTTTGAAAAGAATTACACGAAGAAAAAAAAACGAGAAAGGAAGAAAAAAGAAACCAAATTTTAAGACAACTCTAAGGGACAGCTATTGGGGGTTATTGGACCAATGGGATTTTGCAAAGGCAGGTGTTTGTTCGTCAATAACTCTTCCCTTCTTATGGGGCTTTAGCAGGCACTCTCTGCTCCATGGTGATGTTGCTTATTTTAGAGGATTTTTCTTCAATCGAGTGGACTCTCAGGGAGAGGACGTTGCCAAGCTGGTCTAGTTCTTCCACCATGGCTTTGACAAAGGTTTCTTCTGTTAAGTCTAAAATAAAATAAACAAAAGCTCAGTGACGGTCTGGACATGTTGCAAGGGGCTCAGACATGGCAGATATGCTTTTTAAAATTGCTCTTTGCAAGTTCATAGACACTCAATCTATAACACAACAATCAATCTATAGCACAGTGTTCGAAGGCAATGTTTAATAAGACCCGGTTCTACCTTTCGTACATTTATTGCTGATTTTTAGACCGATGGGTGCTTGAAAGCCTACAGGACAGATGGATTAAAATAATATAAGTGTCACATGAGGATAGGCTTGGAGCAAGCAGCACCTTTTCAAAAACACTAACTCACCCCACTTTTGTGCTTTAAAATAAAATACTTCTTATCAAGCCCTGAAACTGAAAAAGATTATGTTGTGTGTAAGAAAAGTATTGGGGAATCGAGTCCTCATTTCAGTTGTTTCATAATTGGATGTGTTTGTTCTACAGGGACTTAAAATACAAATATTAAGAATTGTTGGGGCTGGAGGTTTAGTTCAGTGGTGCCATTGCCTGCCTGGCAAGCGTGAGGTCCTGAGTTCAAATCCCGGTTCCGCAAAAGAAAGGAAATACTCAGCAACAGATCTTTCTTAGCTAGCAAATTAGTGATTATCAAATATAAACCCTTCTGTACCTTTGACTTGATTTCCAGAATTTACAAGCCTGGGTCCTTTAGATTTGTAACACATGGATTTGTTTCTGCTGTGAAGAAAAGAGTAAATTATTGCAGTTTTTCTTTCAATAAAGAGCTCATAGCAAGGAGTTGGGAATAAAATTCTCAGAGTTCTAATTTCAATAAGGTTTAAATTGCTGTCATGTTTAAGGGATATTAGTAAGCTTTCCATGGCTTCAACATACTGAAAAAATAGATTAAATGGATATTTATGATCAGGAATTTCTTTAGGACCCAATTCTACCTTTTTCGCCTAACAATGTGGGACCTCCAAGTTCTTTCCTAGGGTGACTGTTAATTCAAGAGGTCAACGAACGCATTGAATCCCAAGCTGAGCTGGGCTAGGTGTTCTAGGAAAGGCAGAACTAAGAAACACAAGTGGTTTACATTGTTGGAAATAAAACAGATCCGTGCAAAAAACTATCTCTGCATAGAGTGAAAAGTGCTATGGATTAGGCGAAGAACGGCTGGTGTAATAAAAACAGAGGAGGGCGCCGTCACTGCTGGGGTCTCACAGAACTGGCCACACAGAGCTGCCCCTGGGCTTGGAGGGGCAGAAGGCGGTGAGGCCCTGGGCAAGCGCTCAGTCACAGCCACTGCTCACGGAGCACCTTGTGAAACACAGCCACAAGCACACACTTTACACGATAGGGAGGTGCTACGGCCAAGGCCAGTGTGGTTTGGGTGCCGTGTGAGGTTTGGGTGTGGTTTGCGAGTGTGATTTGGGTGCTGTCACCGTTTTATCAGTGAGCAAATTAGGCTCTGAAGAAGCTAAACCACGGGCTCAAATCCACCCAGGACTACAATTCTAGGGCTTTCTTGTTGCTCCCGAGGAACAGATTATGTTGCTTCTTCAATTACATCTTCTGAGCCATCGCCGCTCAACTTTAATGGATGGAACACGTAGGGTAACCGGTGAGGAGATGGGAAATCAGAGGCTGCTGGGACGGGGTGTAGCGTGGCGGGAAAGTACTGGTCTAGGGTGGGCGGGGCCCTGGGTTCAGTCTCCAGCAGTGCAAAAAAAAAAGGATGAGTTATGCAAAGAAAGCTGCTTAAACTTAAATCACGCACAGCAAATTTCCCCTGGATTAGAATACTAGAAATCTTAAATCTTATATATTCAACCGTCCTTTACGTTGTTAGATATAAAATACTTGATGCACCTCGATTTTCAAACTTCTGGCTGTTTCCTGCCAAATCTCCCTTCCCCGGCGAGCCATAATACACACCCCTGAGGAGTGTGCCGGGTGTGATCAGCCCCAAACTCCACGACCCAACGGTGGCACACACAGAAGTTCTTTCACAGGTGAATACTAACCCTTCTTCCCCATCTAGTAAGCTGCAGTAGGTTTCAATTTCTTTTTCCAAGATCATTTTGATATCAAGCAGCTGTTCATACTCTAGCTTCTGGCCTTCCGTTTCCGTCCGAATCTGTTGCAATTGCTCCTCCATCGTCCCGATCCGATCCTGGAATTGCTGGAGTTGAACGCAGTAATTCCCTTCCACCTCAGCCAAGGCGTGGCCGTAGGACTGTTTCTGAAAGGAGGAGCGGGTGGCACAGTCCTCAGCGTGTGAAAGAGAACAGCAAGCTCACATTGCCAATGTTCCCGCGGTGAAAAGACACTTACACAATCTAAGGATTTTCAACAGAAAAGCAGAGCTGGCAAGACTCAAAAAACAAATTTGCTCTTAGTGGGGCATGGTGGTGCACACCTCTAATTCCAGCCATTTGGGAGGCTGAAGCCGGAGGGTCACATGTTCAAAGCCCACTTGGGCAACTTAGCAAGAGCTTGTCTCAATCTAAGATGGAAAAAAGGGCTGTGGGTGCAGCTAAGTGGAGAGTGCTCGCCTCACACATGCAAGGCCCTGGGTTCAATCTCCAGGTCTCCTGTACACACACACACACACACACACACACACACACATTCACACACACAAATTCATTCTTCTCCCTTGAAAAAATAGATTTTCAGATTTTTGGGATCAATGCATCAGAAGCCATGTTTATGGGTGGAACTAGTAATATTTAACATACTTTATTTTTAGTTTTTCACACTGTGCTTACTGTTACAGACACACTTTTAATATGCATGTAAATGTGGCTAAACACACACTGCTCTATTTCGCATACGGAGGGGTGTGCCCCCCCAGGCCCCTGTGCTGGAAGCAGGTGTGGGGATGTGAAGTGGTGCTGGGACCCTTTCACGAGTGCTTTTTAGCGTCAGCCCTGGTGCTAGGCTGATTGGGCTTTCAGCCTCCAAAGCTGGGAGCTGAAATGAATCTCCTTCCAGTATAAAGTACAAAGCCCCAAGTGTTTCAGCTGCAGCGTAGCTCAGACCGCGGCCAGGCTCACGACGATCGCCACCTACCATGGCAAGGAGGGACTGGAGTTCTATCTCCAGGGTTTGCAGACTGCGCTTCTGTTCCATCAGCTGATTTCGCGCTGCTGTCGCTGCACCGGCGTCATCCAAAATCTGTTGCTGCAGACACGCACTCTGAAACGGCATTGTCCGCAGGTCCGGCACCCGCGCGGCCACCCGGGGACAAGGCCCTCCTGTGACTGGCCTCGGCTGTACCTTCTCGTGGAAGCAGGCCTCGGCGTCCCGGCGGTTCTGCTCGGCCAGGTCCTCGTACTCGGCCCGCATGTTGTTCAGCAGAGCCGTGAGGTCCACGCCGGGCGCTGCGTTCACCTCCACGTTCACGTTGCCTCCTGATGCGCACTGCAGGGCTTTGGTTTCCTGGGAAAGAGCCAGGGCGAAGGCTGAAGCCAGGCTTCTGAGCGGTGCGCGTGAGCCGGGAGAAGGCGCTCCTTCCTCGCCCCAGCTCCCTTACCTCCTCGTGGTTCTTCTGGAGGGAGGTCAGCTCCTCCCCGAGGCTCTCACGCTGCACCTCCAGGTCGGTGATACACAGGCTCAGCTCCTCCAGCGCCCTGCGAAGACTGCCGGTGTCGGCCCCCATGATCCGGTGCAAACCGAGCTCGTTTTCGTATCTGAAAGGCCGTTGGGGTGCATGAGAACTATAATCAGGGGCGGCGGCCGAAGGGGGCGATGCTCTGCCCACACCTGCAGTGGCCAACTTAAAATCGTTCGTAATAGCTGCTGATTTGGGGGTAGCATTTGGAAGTCTGATTTCTTCAGAGACAATGAATGTGTCGTTTGATGCTCTTTGCTGGATTTTAAAAATTCATGGTAGCTCTTCAGGAGGGCCTGTTTAATCTGATTTCTTTATCTGGTGTGGTTTCATGAAAACATTTTGGTTTTAAAGGCAAAAGAAGGGCTGGGGGAGAAGAGCAAAAGATACGTTCTTCAATCCAGCTTGGGGGTTTTTACCTCTGTTAATGTCATTAATTATTTGTACCTACTTCAGCTTGAAGTCTTCAGCAGTCAGCCTGGCGTTGTCGTTTTGGAGAACAATGCTGGCGTTACAGGCGGTCACAGAAATAATCTAAGTAGGGGGGAATGTGAGACACGGTCAGGTTCAGAAGCCTGGGGACCCCCCTGATTTCGGTGAGACTCTGTATCTCCTCGTCTTCTACGTGAGCACCATGAACGTCATTTTTATGCCCAAATCTGGATTTTCTTCAGAAAATCAGCACTTAGGGTCCATGTGGATAATCTGATTTCTTTTGCTCAGAAGGTATGAGTTAAATATAAACACAATGTGGTTGAATGTCTTTGGAAACGCTTTCTCCGCCCTTATTTAAGTTTACAAATCTGTGTTGCCAGGCATTGCTCTGAGGATGGGGAATAGAGAGCGAACAAGTTCTAAATCCCATACATTTTTAAAGTCCATTTATATTTTCTGTGCTTGAAGTTACGCCCGCCGGAATTCTGTGGCTAGAGGATGTGAGTCTGGATCTCTTACCTGTTTTTTCAGATCCTCGATGGCTGAGAAATACCTGCTGTAGTCGTGACCGAGCCCCGGGAACCGCTCCGGCCCGTACCTGTCATACCAGCCCGCGATCTTCACCTCCAGGTCGGCGTTGGCCTCCTCCAGGGCGTGCACATGAGCCAGGTAGGAGGCCAGGCGGTCATTGAGGTTCTGCATGGTCACCTTCTCGTTGCCGGACAGGAGGCCCTGCTCACTTCCCAGAAAACCAGTGCAGATGCCACCTCCAGACCCTCCGCCACCGTGGCAGGAGTTTCCTCCAGGAGAGACACCCTCAAGGGTGCAAGCAAAGCTGCCTTCTGCTCCCGGGGTGACGCATGCGCTCCCAGCCCTCAAGCCAGAGCCCACCCTGGACAGCCGGGCAGGGCCAGCTTGGGAGCAGATCCTCCTGGACCCATTGGGAAATCGGAAAGACATAGCCACGGCACAGCCCAGCACCCTACCGAGAGCCAAGCCACCTTCTGCAGAGCTCAGGACCACAGCCTTTTATAGGGCTTGGTGTCGTTTCAGTCTCTCCCATGCTAATCTGTAATAAAACACCACTCGTATCTTAATTGTTGTTTTTCGCAATTGGGAGAGGTTTTTTTTTTTAAATAGTTTCCAGTAGGTGGCATGGTGCCTCAAGGGTGCTTTTTATACATGAAAAAGGTGCCAGGCAGAGTAGTACTAAATCATAGCCTCCCAGGGTTAGTAATTCTAAATCATAGCCTCACCAACGATAGAAAAGAAATCAGAATTTCTTTTACAGAAAGACATCAAGGTGCATCCTTTTTACCTCTGGGATAGAGTTTAGTCCTCCCTCTTATATAACAAAGAATTAATAATTCATACAAGAAATATTTACTAGTCTTGTCCCACAAACGCATGCAGGATACAGTAAAACTTTGGCTTGTGAGCATAATTCGTTCCAGAAACCTGCTTGTAATCCAAAGCACTTGTATAGCAAAGCAGATTTCCTGTAAGAAAAAAAATGCAGATACAGATGATTCATTCTACAACTCAAAAATATTCATATGAAATACTTATAATACTGTAATATAATATAAAATAATAAAAATACAAACTATAAAGGAAATAAACAAATTAACCTGCACTTACATTTGGAAACCTTCATGGCTGGTGTGGAGGAGACACGAGAGAGAAGGGTCATTGTGCAGGACGACCTTCACCGTCACTAACGGAGGCTCTGCTCTCCGTTGGCTCAGTGGAATTGTTTGCTTTTTGTGGAACTTTAACAAGGCATGACACTTGCTTTTGCCTCCCTCTGCGGATTTTGCAGAAATGTGACATTGCGTTGTAATTAAACAGATTCATGGCTCACACTGCTGCCGCCTTATTGGGGTTGTATTTTTCTACACAGTTTTGCACTGTTTCCCGGATTCTACACATCTCCCTAATCTCATCTGAAGTGAGGGAATTCCTCTGCTTTTTTCTCCTTCTCTGCGGTTCAGATCTCCTCTGTATCCTCTTGCTGTTGGGAGCCAATTACCCACAATCCAACCGTGAGAGGGAGAGAGAGAGATAGAGAGAGAGAGAGAGCGAGCGCACCATTGGTTCAGTTGTGACCACGTGACATCCGGCATCACACACTACTCATATCGCAAGACATTACTCATTTATCAAGTTGAAATTTCTTAGAAATGTCTGCTAGTCTCGCAGAACATTTACAGAACAAGCTACTCACCATTGAAGGTTTTCCTGTATCTTCATTTTCCGCCTTTGTTGCGTCTTCTTTCATACTGAATCCAGAGAACCTGGATAACTATCAGTTTTTAAAAAATTGAGTTTATTGGTACATTTTAGGGATACAGTACAGTTACATTCATTGTTGGGATCTTGTACCTCTGCATGACAGGTCTTGGTTCTCATTTTCTCCCCTTGTCCCTGCCCTCCCTTCACCCCCTCCTCCCCTCCCCATTTACAAACACTTTATTTCCATTTTCTCATATTTTTAGCTAGCAGTTTTTGATGGCGATAGTTTTTAATTGGTTTTCTTTAAAAAAACCTGAAAAATGAAAAAATAAGAGAAGTCAAGTTCTGCCATCATTTTCTTTTCTTTTTCTTTTTCTTTGGTCCCAGGGATCGAACTCGGGTCCTGGCGCTTGCGAGGCAGGCCCCCGAGCCGCTGAGCTACATCCCTGGCCTCTGCCATCATTTTCTTACCAATGTCACTGAACCTCACACATCTGTGGTATCGGTGGAGAATTATCGTTGACATTTCTCAGTTTGGTCTGGGAGTAGAATATCAATTCAATGGACTTTCGCATCTCCAAACTGCTCTGCTGTGCTTTAGTTCAAAGGTGTATATTTGAAGTCTTATGAACCGTTTTGAGAGGGGAGGTTCGTGTTGTTGGTGGGGTGAAGGGCCTGAGGAGACAGGTTGTAGAGGCTGCCTCCGAGGGATCTCCATAGCCGGTTAGGCATCATAAGGAAGCAGACTCTATCTTCTCTTGTCTTGATGCCCCGGGGAAATTAGCCAGTCTTGTGCTTCATTTCCCTACTAGGCTAATGAAAATAACAGCACTGGACTGTCCCAAATAAGTGTTCACCAGACCCAGTAATGAATGACTATACGAAGGCCATCTGGGGGGCACAGACATAGTCTAAGTGTCAATTATTTATATTATTATAATAAAGTTGCCGTTGTCAGACAGGGCCAGACCTCTGTCACCTGCGGTGCTACAAATTGGTTAGTGAACTGATGGCCTTAGTTTTCAAATACTATTTTTTTTTTCCTGAAGGAGATTGGATATGGTGAGATCGAATACTTTGAAAAAGATCCAATGTTCTTGTCATGGAAAGACATGGAATTTCTCAAGGAGTGGAATGTAGGAATTTAACAAGTCCATATGTTTATAAATCATGTTTCAAATATTTTTCAAATCCATAAATGTTTAAAAATTATATATATATCAGTTCAGATTCTCACCTTTAGCTCATGTTCACGACAGTGCATGATAAATTGAGGGATATAACTTATATTCAGAGGCTTGTTACTCATTTTTATTGCAGCCGGGTCAAATTTTAATCTTTTGCCTGTGCTTCCCATGAATAAAATATGGGAAACAGAATGTGTGGTGAGCATAATAGTTTACAAAGCTTGAGTTTCTTAGATAAGAAGTGTTATGGGTCCGCAAAGTATTATTAACATAATCTGTTGAGCTCCAGATAGTTTGTAAATACTAATTAACTTATCAGGTTTTGTGAAATAAATCAAGCATGTTATTAGCGCCACATTGGAGATGAGTAGGTCCAAGATCACAGACTACTTGTCTGTCACAGTGGGCGGGGGTGGAACTCCGGTCCTTGCGCTTGCGAGGCAGGCGGTGGCACCATTGAGCTAAATCCCCGGCCTTAACCCCTCTTGCAATGTCCTTGCTGTTTACTCTCGGGGCAAGTATCTGAATCAGAGACTCCTCAGTGAGTAGCCTAAAAGTACGGGTAGGCTTTAGTCCTCTCTGGAAGTAGCGGATGGATTGAACGAGTTCCCCAGGGCCACTTCTGTCCGTGTATTCGTTCCGTGAGCGTGGTTATTCTGTATCATTCACCACTTCTTGAGAATCTCCTCGGTATCGGAGCGAGACGTCATAGGTACATCGCGGGTGCTCGGAGGAGTTGGACTGAGTCCAACCTCCAAGTGGTGCCGTGGCGATGTCTTCTCCTTTCGGGATAACGCTGTCCACGAGGTGACCCTGCTCTCATGGTCATAAAGTCATCTCTCCTCTCGTTGGTGTTCTGCGCCCCCTAGACTGATCTATTCACATTCATGCTGGTAGATGAACCTACCTTGACCGACATATCATAAGTATCCGAAATCCATAGTTTGTATTCTTTTTCCTTCTTGGCGTTGTACAGTCTCAGGGTTTGGACAGTGTACAGTGGCACGTGCTACTCCTGTGGTCTTACAGAGAATTTCCATTGTGTCAACTTCCTCTAGCGCTGCCTGCTCACAGCCCCTCCTCCAAGCAAACGTGATCTTGCCTCTCCATACTTCTGCCCTCTCCAGAAAGTCACGTAGCTGGAGCAACAGGCACGTAACCTTTGCAGGTTACCTTCTTTCACTTAGTGACGCACATTTAAGCTTCCTCTGTGTCTCTTCCTGGCTTGACAGCTCGTTGTAGTATGGACTGACCCTCCATTGCCTGGGTCTATCATAGTTTATTTATCCGCTCATCCACCGATGGTCATTTTGGTTGCTTCCAGATTTTGGCAGATAGTGAATGAAGCTATCACCAATATCTGTGTGCAGGGTTTTACGCAGACATTTTCAACTCCTTCGGATCAAAGAGTAAGAGCCTAGCAACTGCTGAATCATCTGGCAAAGTGTATGTTTCATCTTGGAAGGAAATTCCAATCTGTCCTCCAAATAGGCCCTAAACTGAAAACTACGGAACTGTGTGGTTAGGAGCTTTCTCCTGATTTTGACACAAAAAGCATGGGATGTGAGGGCCAGTGAATTAGAAACTTAAATGAAAAGGGTATTTGCTTTGGGTTCACCCACGTATTTAAATGCTGGTAGGGAAGAGTGCAGGAAAGACAGTGGCTTCCATCTGACATGAGCCAGTTCTGCAGAGCTCAGTGCAGCTGCTGGTTCTGGAGGATATAGGCTGCACCCACACCAGAAACGGCTCGTTTTTGAGGGAACCGTGTTCTCTCCTCACAACAGCTGAGCCTACACTTCCTCCTGCCACCAGGAAGTCTTGAACTGCTGGTTAGAGAAATAGATTCATTGATGTTAAGCACTAAATATTTGACCTCAGAGACACATTGCTCTGCAGGCTGGGTGGGAAGAGCTGACCAAGCACCAGGACTGCCCACCCTCCTGGCGGGGTGACTGAGCTGACAACTCAGGTGCCCTCTGGAATTCCCCACTTACCCAGTACCCACAGCTCTCTCTTTCCCCTTACACCTTCAGAAAAGATCACCATCAATGCCATCTCCTTTTAGTATATGTGCTGCCGAAGTGAGCACAATAACATTTCCTTAATGGTTAGGATGTTTTTGATTTTTAAAAATCGTTTATTTCCAATTCCATAAGCACATTGAGGTCGGGGACTTTTTTTTTTTTTGTGACAGGGTCTCACTGAGTCACTAAGCTGTCAGTTACTAAGTGGGCTGGGCTCAAATTTGTAATCTTCTTGACCTGTCTCCAAAAGTGCTGGGATGACAGTCATCATGTACCACCATGCCTAGCTAGGGATTGGATTTTATTTGCTGTTTTATTCTCATCATCTGGTGCTTACTGTGTGTTGGAAGGGAGACAACACTTTACAGAAGTGTGAAGAAGATCCCACCTGGTGTATGTGTTAGACTCAACCCTAACGTTTGTTTTATTTTGTTTTTTTGAGACAGGGTCTCACTATGTAGTTGAGACTGATCTGGAACTCACTATGTAGCCCGGGTTGGTCTCGAACTCACAGCGATCCTCCTGCCTCAGCCTCCTGAGAGCTGGATTAAAGGCGTGAGCCACCATGCCTGGCTTCATCCCTAACGTTTGAAGACCACTAAGTTAAGCACAAGAAATTGAAAGGCAAACCCAGCCGCCCTGGGAGGGCTTATTTAAAATACAAAGAGGGGGTCAGAGCCCTGCAGGGTGCTTGCAACAGAAAGAACTTTTATTGAAACATCACCATACAGAAAGCCAAGGAAACAACGTTACTACTCTACGAAGAATTTGGTGTAGTTCACTGGAAGAAAAGCAGAAAAATAAGAGGGCCCTTAATTAGGAAGGACACCGTTGAACTTGGTGTCCCAATTTGGGGGATGTCCTTCTGCGGAGGGGTGTGGTTCAGGAAGGCACCCTCTGTTCGCTTGGGCTGACTTTGCCAGGTCTCTCTTCGATGGTGTGAATTCTGGACCGGAAAACACTGCCACAAGGATCTATTTCTTCAACAATCGTCTTAACAATGGCCGGGTTAGACGCATCTGAAACGGAGTGTGCGAAGGATTAGAGTTTATTAAATTCACAAATGGAAACTCAGTCATCCCCTAAAGCGTACACGAGGAAGGACAGGGGAAGGCTTTGCACAGTTTGTGTTCACCTTTTATCTGGCTTCCTGGTCCTCCCTGGCCTTGTGATTTGAGACAAGATCTGTAAAAACATAATTATTTCAGTGTGTTTTTCTAAGGAAGTGGAACCCATGACTTAAGGCAGGCATTCCTTGTACACGGAGGTACCACAGAAGGGGATTTTATCTACACACGATCCGGACCACGGATACGTCGTACTCAATTTTGAATCATCTTTACAAATGATCTCCAGTTGTCTTCACGGAGGTGGTACTCACCCCTCGTCCCCGTCTATGAGGCGGCAGTAAGTCTCGATTTCCTTCTCCAGGTGCACCTTGACGTCCAGCAGCTGCTCGTACTCCAGTTTCTGGCCCTCGGTCTCCGTCCTGACCTGGTGCAGCTGCTCCTCCAGGGCCCCGATCTGCGCCTGGATCTGGGCCAGCTGCGAGCAGTAGTGGCCCTCGGTCTCGCTCAGGGAACACTCCAGCGAGTGTTTCTGTGGTGTGGGAAGACGGGACATATCACTGGCCTGTGTCAGAGTGAGCCGGATCGCTTCAAAGATAACGAAGGGAGTTAATTCTACAGGATGCAGATCGCCATCTGAACCCAGCAGATGCCTTTGCTCACCGTGGGAAGCTCCAGCTGCTGGAGCCGGGAGTGTCACCAAGGATGAAGATGCTTTCTCCTAGGGCTCTCACGCTCGCTCGCATTCTCATCTACCCCGTGGTTGTGGGTTCAGAGGCACAATATGCCATTTCCCCCCGGAATAAAGCCCCTTTCCCTTTGCTACCTCATGTCCAATCATCTGGCAACCTTGTCTCACGAGAGCTGTAGCCGTTCTCTGAAAAACCAGTCCTGGGGTGGGTTACATCAACTCTGTATACGTAGCATGTTTTATATCCTTTGAGCTTTGCGTCATTCCACTCATTGGCTTTTGACTCCAAATGCATGTACGTAGGTCCACAGAGCTCACATGGCTTGAAGAGGAGCATCTTTTACCCTTCCCTATGCCAAATGTTTTTGCACAAGCCCGTCTTTCTGTACATTTGTGGTGCCCTCTGTGGAGAAACTCTAACGAGCCACTGCGGGAAAAGCAGAGCTTTGGGACTTAGAAAATTCGGAGAGAAATTCTGCTTCCTTCATATCCAGCGGTAGGACTCTGGGCACCGGTTAATTTCTCTGATTCTCAGATGCCTAGGTGGAAATAATGACACGAACCCTAATGTCAGCCTTGTCCAAGTCTAGGGCTGATTGTGGACCAACACGGGTGTGGGGGATGCCGAGCCAGCCCTCCCTGAGGAAGGCGGCTTTCCTCACCTCCCCGCTCGGCTCCAGAGGCGAATCCGTACCTCTGTTGCTTCTTTTCGTCACTTAAAAAGGAACCTAAGTGCTCTCAGTGAGGTGGCCGAGAGGAACGCTAGCTAAAGAAGCTAGAAAGGTACAGACATACTTTTGCCCTCCAGGGACAGTGATTTTGATATTTTGACTTGGAGGAGGAGAGTCAGGCTAAAAGCCGTATTTTCTCTGGAAGTACTTACACGTAGCTGCATTTACTAATTTCTATTTCTTCACAGTGATTAGTGTCTAGGTATAGTTTTCAGGCAGAGAGATATCTATGCAAAATGCAAAAGACTTTTACGTCGTCGTTCATGGATAAAATTCTAAAATACAGAATGCTATCCGCAAGAAATTTTTTTTTTTGTTTCCTCTTGATGTCTAAAGCACATCTGTTTCTAACTTTGTGCTTACCAAGGCTACGCTGGACTGCAGTTCAATCTCCAGTCCTTGTGCGATGCGTTTCATCTCCAGAAGTTCGTTCCTGGCCAACGTGGCAGCTCCGCTGTCTTCAGAAATCTGCTGCTGCAGGGAGGCGCTCTGCAAGATGCTGGCCGGGTCAGGCGTGCGCACCGCCTCTGCACCTGGGCCCCCCTGGCAGCTGAGCACCCCCGTCCGCCCTGCCCTGAGTCGCTGTACCTTCTTGCTGAACCAGGCCTCGGCGTCCCTGCGGTTCTGCTCCGCCAGCGCCTCGTACTCGGCCCGCATGTTGCTCAGCAGCACCGTGAGGTCCACGCCGGGGGCCGCGTTCATCTCCACGTTCACGTTGCCCCCGGCCGCGCACTGCAGCGCCTTCATTTCCTGGAAGAGTTTTGTTTAACCACATTAAGACATTAAGATCTCTCTCTCTTTCTCTCTCTCTCTGTTTCTTTTGATAAAGTCTCACTATGTAGTTCAGGCTGGCCTCGAACTCACAGTGATCCTCCAGCCCCAGCCTCCCAAGTTAAGGGACTATGCGCATGAGTAACCATGCCCAGCTCTTTCTTCTTGTTTTTTTAAAGACTTGGTCTCACTATGTAGTGTAGCCCAGGCTGACCACTAACTTCCTTGCAATCCTCCTGTCTCAGCCTCCCAAGTGCTGGGATGACTGATGTGTGTCACCACTCCTGGCTTTAGGATCTATTTTTTAAAGGAGCCAGATGGCCAAGATCCACAGAACCTTCTTTTGTGGGGTTGGTTTCTTTTGAGAGGGACGAATAGAAACATTTCAAACAATCGACATCACCCCTGCAACCTGGTGCCCACCTCCTCGTGGCTCCTCTTGAGGTGGGCCAGCTCCTCCGTGAGGCTCTCCAGCTGGATCTCCAGGTCGGCCCTGCACAGGGTCAGCTCGTCCAGCACTCGCCGGAGCCCGTTGAGGTCGGCCTCCACGCTCTGGTGGAGGGCCTGCTCGTTTTCATACCTGGCACACATTTATTGGGAGTCAGGCATCACAGGGCTTGTTAGAGCCTCCCCAAACCCACAAGCGGTTGCAGTCATCTAGAGAACCTCCGTTAGGTTTTGCTGTAACACGCATTTGGTTCAAAGCGAATACATGAATAAAAACAAGGTCTAGGGCCGGGGATTTACCTCAGTGTTTCCACCACCTGCCTCACAACCACAAGGCCTGGAGTTCGATCCTCTGTACCAAAAAATCCCAACCAACCAACCAAACAAACAAACAGCCAAGGACCAGTGCTGACCTCGGCCTCAGTACAAGGGGATACTCCGGGTGACTTTTCTTTTCCTCTTTCGGCACTACTTACTTCAACCTGAAGTCATCGGTGGCCAGGCTTGCATTATCGTTTTGCAGCACAACATTGGAGTTACTCGCGGTCATGGAAATTATCTGGCAAATGGAGTTAGTTGGGGATAAGGAAATATTTTTTTAAATGTGAATTTCTTTGAAATAAAGTTATCTATGAAATTATGGTAATATTTCTAGCATCCATGTCTAATAATAGGAGGATTGTTTGGCAAATGGGAACTTGAACTACGGCTTGTTTCACTCCTCATTCTGGCCATCCCAAAAAACTTCTTTCTGTTGGAAAGTTTGAATAGATAGTTGAAGACAGTGGACAGTTTTGGATATTTTCATATTAGAAACCCACACCGATACCTAATGCCACGTTCAAAGATTATAATTTTTTTTTTTAATTTTGCAAACCCGGGGATTGAACTCAGGACCTTGAGCTAAATGCCCAGCCCTCAAAGATTAGAATCTTAACAGAAATTATTTTTGATGTTGATAATTAGCTGCCAAAATTTAGAAGCTGAGCCCAAAGCCCCATTGTGCCAGTTTGTACATTTGTGTGTGTGTGTGTGTGTGTGTGTGCGTGCGTGCGCTCACTGTCATAAGTGTTACAACCCTCGATGCTGTGCTCCTTACCTGGTTCTGAAGGTCATCAATGATCGGAAAGTATCTACTATAATCACGATCCAGGCCGCGGCAGGAGCCGGGCCCGAACTTGTCGTACCAGCCCTTGATCTTCACCTCCAGGTCGGCGTTGGCCTCCTCCAGCGCGCGCACCTTGTCCAGGTAGGAGGCCAGGCGGTCGTTGAGGTTCTGCATGGTCACCTTCTCGTTGCCGGACAGCAGGCCATGCTCGGTGCCATCCAAGACAGCACAAGGGGCACTTCCGGTGCCCAGCGCCCCTGCAGACCAGCTGCCCCCAAGGGCGCACGAGAAGCCACTCCCGGTGCCTGTGACTCCACAGGGCTTTCCAGCCTGGAAGCTGGGGCGCCCCCCGGACAGCCGCCCGGGGGAGCCCAGCCGCTTGGATGCAGAGGAGAAGCTCACAGGCATGGTGTCCAGGCGGGAGTGACAGGCACGTTGTCAGTGTCCCGCAGGCCTGTCTGCTTTATATACACATTATTAGGGTGTTTCTGGGTAAACTTTGCTACTCACAGCATAATGGCCTTTGCCAGCTCATTGCAAATTATCCATAATTGGGCGATTTTTTCTTAATGAATGTCTTTAGCCTACCGTTGCCATTTCTGTGGGTGGGGAGTTTCTGGGGGGTTATTTGTTATCTCTGGAGGGGCAGGGTGGGGCACCTGCAAGGTTAGTCTAGGAAGCCGTTCAAACCGCGTGTGACCAGCCAGCCGTCCGGTCCTCAGGGATTCAGGGCGATGAGATTCCTGTGAGACTAAGAAAACGTGTTTCTCTTCCCCAAACCAAGAACACTGTCTTTTCTCCGGAAAGCGCAGTGTCATAGTCCGTTTTCAATCGCACATGTTGAAAATAACTTCAGGACCACGGGCTCATGGTACTATAGGAAGGGGGTCAGGTCCTAGGAGGAAACAGGAGTGAAGGGGGGTCGTCTTAGGAGACAGCCTTCCCTCGATTGCGACCCTCCCAGAGTTACCCTTTTATCTCCGCTGGTTTCTTATCTAAGATCTGCTGCTAATCAGGTTGAGTAAGGACATCGGGCAACCTCTCTGGGCCTCAGTTTCCTCGGCTCTAAATGAAGGGGCCAGCTTGTAGCCCGGAGGTTCCCTCCCTATCTCTAGACGCCTTGGATTTCTCCGTTCCTTCCTTTTGCTGTTTCCAGGATATTTTTCTGTGTTTTCTTCTGTTGCTTTTACCCTCTACTCACTGCCGAGTCTTGGTTCCATCAGGTTAGAGATTTAGGACCGGGGTTGTGCTCTCCGCGCATGTCCAGCCCGGTGATTGTTTCTTATACAACCTCTTCTGTACTGACCGCCTCACTCTGAGTGAGCCAAGGAATTAAAGAAGGGAATAGGGCGGAGACACCGTTTTATAAGTTCAGAGGCCACCAAGAAGCACGGACAGGAGCTGGAAACAGCCATGCAGTGGGTGTTCACTGCAAACTGCAGAGCCGCCTGGGAGGGAGGGGAACCCGGCTTCCAGCCAAGGCACCTTCGAGGTTCCTACCCACCTGGACGCCCAAACCACAGCCCTTTTGTCTGACAACTACAGAGAGAAAGTGGAATCAAAATGAATCCACAGTGAAAGGTCTCGAAAGGTTTACCTCCTTTGTGCCTCTGTCAGGAAGCCCCTGGAGGAGAAAAAAAACAATGCGAAAGGAAAGCTTTGGATCCATCCTGGACAAGCGCCCCAGAGCAAGGGCACTGACTGAACACCCTTGACCAACAGCTGGGGACAGTTTGGAGGAGGAATAGTCCCTCTGGGAGGCAGGAGGGAGGAGGAGCGAAAGCAAGTTTGAGCCCAACAACTTAGGGACTTACTGGGACCCTGTCTTAAACAAACAAACAAACAAAAACCCTTATCAAACAACTGAGTTCCATTCCTGTGACTAGATCGTTAAATGAATTGGTCGTTAAATGAGAAACGGGTACAGTGTGTACGTCACAGTATTCAGAACAAAGAAACAGACAAAGGAATCTCCAACTTGATAATTTTGCTTTTATCTGCATAACTCTTACATGCAGCACTGCAATGATAACAACATGAAATTACAGGACTGCACACTACCGTACCATCAGCAAAAATTACAGTTCTGTGTAAACAAGGTGTACTGTACAAGGAGAGACATCGGGGCTCTATAAATGAGATGCACAGGACTGTAAAAAAAAACAATCAAAAAGACAGTTTGTATGTCTGAGTGGCGGATAACACGGTGTGAATCTGGACAACTAGGTCACTAAATAAGGAGTATCTGAAGCAAAAGGGCTGGGAGTTAGCACAGTGCAAAGGCCCTGAGGTTCGGAGAGGAGGGAAGAACTAGTTCTGATTCCTGATCGACTGGGAGGATGGGGCTTCTGAAAGTGAGGTCTCCCAGGAACAGATAAAAATGATCGCTTGATGCTTTTAATCAGGATGATCAATAAGACTGATTGATGATTAATTGATGGTTATGAAGCGGTAAGAAAGATTAAGGTGCATGGGAACCCAGGGTAATACAAAATTAGAAAAGCAGGGCTTATGTAAGATTCAAAGAGTTGTACAAGGAGATGTAGTCAGACCATAGCAATTGACAAGAACAATTATTTCAGAACGACGCAAACACTGAATGTTGATTTCATGTCGGGTGATTGCTAAAAGAAGGAACGGCGGTGTGTGATTTCCACTTTCACAGTTAACTTCTCAAGCACAGCTTGAATTCCTTCTCTTTTACAGGGATGCCGATTCTCTTGTGAGCGTGGGAACCCACTACAGCCAAAAGCAGAGAGGAAGCCGGGCCCGGCAGGGCATTACCTACATTTCCACCACTTGGGGAGGCTGAAGCAGGAGGATTGCAGGTCTGAGCCCAACCTGAGCAAATGAGTGACTCAGGGAGACCCAGTCTCAAAAGAAAACAAACAAACAAACAAAAAAGAGAGCTGGGGATGCAGCTCAGTGCAAAGGATCTGTGTTCAATGATCCCCAGTACCTGTTCCCAGAAGGATCAGGGCGAACCTTCAGGGTTTCAGGGAGAGCTAGTCCAGGAGCTCCACGTTCTGCTAGCGAAGGAAATCACAGAGCCAAAGGCTCTCGGTTCTCACACACCTTGGAAGGACGGAGAGATTTAACCCTGAAGCCGGAGCACGGGATGTGTCTTTCCACTCTGTGAGCCTAGAAGAAATTAGAGCAAATTCACCCAGAATTTAGTTGTGCACCCATTTCTTTAATGAACGCACACAGGAAACTCTGTTCTTCAACAAGAAGTATTGCAGGAGGGCTGTTTCTCTTTAAAGTTTTCTTTAAAACACAAAGGGCAGCGAGTTCTGGCTGGAGAGCCGATCCCCATGGAGACAGCGGCTTTTGACAGTGGGACTTGTTCGGCCCTGGGAGGGGGATGGGGGTGGGCAGGGGCGGAGGGAGAGAGGCGGTGGTGGAAGGGATCCAATCTGTCCACTTGGTACGTGTTAATAAAATAAGATTTAAAGAGTGTGTTAGGGACAGGGCTGGCTTCACGGGCTCGAAGCTTCGGCCGTGGCACAAGCTGGCTCAGAAGAGCCACACCCTTGGCTTGACGTTCTGCTGCCACCTTGAAATGCTTGGTATGGCGTCTTTGAACTCGGGTCTGGGAAGTGAATTCTGATCGGACCGAGGTGGCTGGCTCAAGCCCCGGAATGTGTGACACGTGTTCTCTTGCACTGGCGCTCACCGTCTTGTCACGCGTGGCCTATGCGGTTCCCCGGGGGCTCTGCATCACGGAGCCGTGGTTCACAGGGCTCCCTCCAGCAGTGCCTTCAGACACACACGGCTCATCTGTGGCAACCCCAGGGAGTCAGGCCTTCCATGCAGACCTGAACTTGCTTCAGATACAGAAGGAAAGAGTCAGTGTTCCAAGAAACACGCATGGCGGAGGAAGCCCTGTGTGTGCTCAGACAGCCTCCCGGGGTGAGGCTGAACACGGCTGTACAGAAACCCAGGATGACCCGCAGTTGCTTCTCCTTTCAGTCTGTTCTTTCTAGGAAACCACAGGTGAAGAGTGAGTGTCAGCACAGAGGGCACGTACAGAGAAGTCGCCTACGAACAGTTCGGCCTGATTAGTGCAGTGTTCCCACAGTTTTGTAAGAACAAGACGCACACTCATGCGTGAACTACCAAACACGAGTCACAGGGCTTCAGAGTTAGGTGTACAAGTTCAACGTTCTCATATCTGGATTTAAAACAGGCCCGGCACAAGATAAAAACTAATGGCAAAATGCAGGCAACAACTTAAAATTTTATCTTTTCTTTCCTTAGCATCATATTCAATAACAAAGATGCCTCCCAAGACAACAATAGCAAAATTAAAAAGCAAGCAAGCAACCAACCAAACAACAAACAGGGCCAAAAAAGAAAAATAAGAAAAACCAAGGACAAATCGAGAGTGAAACTGCAGGTGAGGAAAAAACACTACAACGTGATACTTATAACGACACTTTCCCCCTTGGTCTTTGAACTTTGGTCACATTTTCACTCTTCCCTGAGCCCTGCAAGTTAAGCAGCTGGTCCTGTGAAGTTGGGAAGTAATTTCTCTATGAATTTCTAGCATTGGCTTCATTTGATGACTTTGGCAGAATATTTTGTAGATATTCCCCTTCGGGGTGGCTGGGTACAATTCCACTGTTGCAGGAGCGTTTTCCCTGAAATGGGCCAAACATTAGCGAAACGACCCTTTTCCCAGGGTGGAGAGATACAGCGACTAGAACGTGCACAGCCGCCTGAGAGTTTGAGCTGTAGGGCAGGCGTTTCAGAGTCTCTCAATAAAGTTTTATTGGAACATTGCCGTGGTTGTTGGTCTGTGTGCTGACCGTGGCTGCTCTCTGCTACAGTGACTGAGCCGAGTATTTGGAATAGAGAGACCTATAGTTTGCATAGCCTACAATATTTATTCTCTGGGCTCTTACAGAAAAAGCTTCCAAACCCCATCCTAGGAAGAAAACCATTTACACAAGGCTCATGGCTGCAGCTCTTTTCGGGGATTTTCCTGTAGAGGTGAGGAAAGGGATCCTAAGAAGTACTCAGGTGTCCGGCAGAGTTTGAGAGGCTCCGGGTAAAATGCTAGGCTTGCGCCGCCTAGCGGTAGAAGTTTTTCGCGCCCACAATCACTTCATCTCTAGTAGCAATAATTCTCATTTGAAGTCACTAAGAGAAACTTCCCAGTCGTGCTGGGGTCCTTTCCGTCTTCAGATTGTTCTGGCACCAAAATTATTTTCGGTTTCTTTTCTTATCAGGATATGTTTCTGGTACATAATAATTACACTCTTCGGGGGGGTGTCGGTAACATAATATGACCTTAATTGTCTTTATGCCCCTTCTCCCCCCCCAGATCCTCTTTCCATCCCTGAAAATCACAGACTTTCTGAACTTTCCCATACTTGCCTGTGCAGGCACGTGGGACTTAAAGATTATGCCCAGAGAATGTTTACTATTTCAACATCATGTTGGTATCGCCTGTTATTTAGAATTGGAACGACAGTGTCTCCCTAAGGAAAAAAACAAATCCAAACTAATTATTTATTGGGCACCAGTGAATGCAAGTTGTGTGTTTATCAGCTTTTTAATTTATTTGGTGACAAACACCGGACATCCTGTAGAAGAGACTGAGAAAGCAGGTATTTTGGCTAAGAAACTTATCTTCAGGGATTAGAGAGTGTTTTTATTCTGATATTTAGGATGATGCATGTGTGCTGGGCTCCAAATGGCAGCTAGAAGGGAACCCTCTGCTTCATGATGGTGGTCACTTTCGGTGTCTTTTCCTCAATGGAGTGGATCCTGGATGAGAGAACTTTGCTGCGCTGATCCAGCTCTTCGAGCACTGTCTTTACCAGTGTGATCTTGGGAAAATCTAGAGGTGAGATGCGCAGGAATACATCTGTTCAGCTGAGAGACAAAGTGATAAAGAACTCCACCCCTGGTTGTAATATATTAGGCAGGTTTTGGGGGAGGGAGTCATGTGGATTTATAATGACAATTTGGAATGGCCGTATAAAACTCAAAATAATACTTGCGGTTCCGAGTACTTTGGTTAAAATTACTGAGCCACAGACCCTCACCACATAGGACTGCCATCACGGTAAGAGTTTTTTTCTGCGACAGGGACGGAACTAGACTTTGTTACCTTTAGATGAATTCCCGGAGTTTCCTGACCCAAAGCCTTTTGATTTGGAGCATGACCTGTAAAGAAAAAAGAAGCTTATCGTTTACATCTCTGTTTTCTACCACTTAAGAGAAAGTCACTGCGTCGATGAGCTCAAGTGAAATTTGTCTGCCCAAAACATCCTACTTTACTATGGAGGAAAATACTGGGATCTTCGTGGCAGGAACTGGAGGTGATTAAGTGTTACTGAAGGAGAAGACATTAAAATATTATTCCTATTTGATGGTCTTGAACCCAAGAATTTAAGAGTTAAGAAATACATATATTTAAAACTTAAGATCTCCGTGAAACTCCAGATACATGCTGGGGGTCTGCACAGAGTACATTTATTTCAGGGCAGCAGCGATATTAGGAATGAACTGGATAGGGAAACCCTGGGCCCGGGACAGAGAGAAGCTGGAAACCCACAGGGTTTCACGTGGACAGCAAAGGGGGACTGGGGCGGGGGCGCTGGAGGGTTCCGCGACCCTGGAGGTCGGAGGGGGATGCGTTTTGTGCAGTGGGAGTGAAACAGAAAGGTCAGGAGGGTGCGGGCGTGGCCTTGGCGCGGTCACTCACCCCTCATCCCCGTCTATGAGGCGGCAGTAAGTCTCGATTTCCTTCTCCAGGTGCACCTTGACGTTCAGCAGCTGCTCGTACTCCAGTTTCTGGCCCTCGGTCTCCGTCCTGACCTGGTGCAGCTGCTCCTCCAGGGCCCCGATCTGCGCCTGGATCTGGGCCAGCTGCGAGCAGTAGTGGCCCTCGGTCTCGCTCAGGGAACACTCCAGCGAGTGTTTCTGGGGACAGTGAGATGCCTCGTAAGGGACCCACCGAGGCCTCTGGAGCCGAGGCAGTGCTACTCTGAGGGCAAGTTTGGGAAACGTGTGGAGTTCCTTGCCGTGAAAGGGCGGCAGAGGCTGACGCTGTCCGCTTGGGGACCCGACAAGGGATAAACGACCCCTTTCCCACAAGACTTTCCACGGTCCCCATGCACATCCCTCATATTTCAGTAATATTTCCAATTAGCACCAACCTGGAATGAAAGCTCTTTTTTGGGGAGTAGGGGGGAGTAACACTGTAAGAAATTAATATGAGAAAACATTTTCAAAGATTGCCTATTTATTTCTGAGCTGCCTGTTGCATTTTCAATTTCACTCTGCCACGGCCCTCACCCAATTACCTGGCCGCTGTGCTACAGCTTCCTTTCCGAAGCCGTCTTTGGTTTTCTGTCACCCACCAAAGGCTCTGACTAATGCCTGTAAGACTGAACCCACACCTACCAGGGTTTGGGCCGGGGATGTGACTCAGTGGCACCGTGCCTGCCTCGCAAGTGCAAGGTCCTGAGTTCGATTCCCGGTACCACCACCAAACCAAACCAACAAACATAAAACAGGGCTGTGTTTTCAAAACTAGAGATAACCTCATGCAGTATGGGAAAGCATTTCGGCACAGCTCTGATGAGGATCTTGTCTTCTACTTCCAAAGTCTGTAATCTGTCTTGGCACACGAGCCTTACTTTTTAAGGGGATCAAACTCGGGTCCTTGCACTTAGCGAGGCAGACACCAGAACAACTGAGCTAATTTCCCAGCTCCAGCAAACCTCACTTAATGAAGGTCATTCCCCTCTTTCCTTTATCGTATATTGAATGTACCTGGAAGTTGTTACTTCCAATACTAGTAATTATCTTTTCTTTTTGCTACAGCGACTCCTCATCTTATGTCAGTTAAAAGGGAACATTTATTAAAAGAAGATCTGAGACCATCGTCTGACATTTCTTAGGGCTGTTGGGGCTAAGTATTTAGAGAATAAATCCTTTTTAAAAAATTGCAGGTAGGACATCATGCTTTTAGAATACTTTTGTGTTGCTAAATCTGTTCAGTAATCGATTTCATTCTAGGATTGCATACAGGCAGCTATAAAATAGCAGACCTCACAGGCCACAGGACCCTGGCCTCGGCTGGCAGGTGCTTAGGTGAGGGTGCGGGGTGGCGGAGTATTTAGGGGAAGGCGGCAGGAGGTGAGGGCTGGGAGGACCGGACTGCCCTGAGGGGCGGGCCACGTGGCACCGGGATTGTCTTTACCCACCGCCTTCTCTTTACCCCCCGTTCCCAGCTCCTCAAAGCTGCCTTTCTGCCAAGTGTGTGGCAAAGCTGCCCCGTAGGGCAGAGGACGGTGTCCCCCGCGCCTGCTGGGACGGGGACCGGCCCCTGCCGCCCTACCGTGGCCAGGAGGGACCTCAGCTCGATCTCCTGCGTCTGCAGCGTGCGCTTCAGCTCGGACAGCTCAGTCCTGGCCTGAGTGGCCTCGCCGGTGTCCTGGGACAGCTGCTGCTTCAGCGAGGCGCTCTGCAAGGTGTGGGCCGGTTAGGTGCTGGCACTGCCTCTGCACCTGGGCCGCACCTGGGCAGCTGAGCACCCCCGTCCGCCCTGCCCTGAGTGGCTGTACCTTCTCGCTGAACCAGGCCTCGGCGTCCCTGCGGTTCTGCTCCGCCAGCGCCTCGTACTCGGCCCGCATGTTGCTCAGCAGCACCGTGAGGTCCACGCCGGGGGCCGCGTTCATCTCCACGTTCACGTTGCCCCCGGCCGCGCACTGCAGCGCCTTCATTTCCTGCAGGGGACGCGAGAGTGACTTGTGGGTCTTGGTGACGTCCACACGCAGCCTGACTTCCAGAGGGGTTAGTTTCGCTTCAGGGTTTCCGGAGTATAACGTATGTTCCCCGTTTTAAAAATCGGCTGACTCCATCCTCACGGACACCTGTTCCCTACTCAGTCAGCCATTTCTTCCTTTAAAAAACCCAGAGGCCCCTCTGCAAAAACTAGTCACAGAGACCCAAGACAATCTTCTAACTCTTTCTATGAGGAGGGGGGTTACAAAGACCAGAGAGTTGCTCTATACATAATTACTGCTTAAATGTCACACTGGTGAGAACAGAGGAAAAAGAAAGTCAAATAACCACCCCAGCTGTCGCCGCACACGTCAAGGGGCAGCGTCGCTTCTGGAGCGGTGATTACGGCCAAATGCGAGCCTTCAACATCTCCTCCAGGTGAGGGTGTTTTACAGATTGGGAAACCGAGGCACAGGGGGGTGGAGGTTGTGTGATCGGAGGGAGAGGGTTTGCAATAACGGCCTCTGCTCTGAGCCCTCTGTGTGAGGCTCTGCCCCAGGGCAGCCACCCGTGGAGCAGAGCTCAGGGAGTGGATTTCTCCACAAATGAGCAAACCGAGGTCCCGGCTGGGTTCTGTGGGTTCTGTGGGCAGCCCCCGTGGTGCTGCAGCTGCTGCGGAAGTACTGACACCAACCTCCGTGACCTTCCAGGGTCGGAAGGGCCAAAGTCTCATACTGCCCTTGGAAACCACTTTCGCTCTCACATGTTGGGGTTCTGTGTAGCAAAGTTCTTGTTGCTGTCAAAGCTTGGAGGTTGGGTGGCTTGGAGCTACCCAGGGGGCCTGGATCCCTGGAGCTGGGGTGATGTGAGACTTTGGGCGTGCTGAGCGTGGACAGCCTTTTGCTTCTACACGCAGGGCATCCAACAGCCGCCTCTTGCAGCTGGGGTGTCTTCACGGGGACAGTGACTCCTGCTGTGACCCCCTTCCCTGAGTGTCCCTGGCCGGCCGGCCTGCTGTGCTCATCATTTCTTCTCATCGCAGGGCTTGACTTGTCCTATTTCTCCCTGCTCCCTTCTTTTCTTCCTTCACTCTCCTTTCCACACTGGGGATTGAACTCAGGACCTTTGAACTGAGCTACCCCCCCATCCTCTCATTCTTTTTGACCTTGAGATAAGGTCTCTCTAAGTCACTCCGTTGCCCAGGCTGGGCTGGATCTCGTGATCCTCCTGCCTCAGCCTCCAGCATGCCCTGGATCCTCTCTGTGAAGTCCCTCTCTGTGGTGCATGGCCTGCCTTTGCCGCCCTGATAACTCTCTCTCTGCTGATCCAACTCCTCTGGAACTCCACTCTGTGCCCCTTCCCTCTCCTTTTTTCTAATTTTCCTGCTCTTTTTCCCTTAATACTGGGAGCACGTAGACTTGATGTTGCTGTCATTATTGAACCAGTAATGCTTTTTGTCTTAGGGTGGTCTCTAAAAATTTGCTATCTCTTGTTTTTGGGCTTTTACGAATACGTTTAGCTCTATCTATCTAACTGGAAATAGATATTTGGAGGGGCTTGAAGCTTCCTATTGAGTGCAGTGCAGTGGGTTTATAATGGTGCAGTGATAAACATTGAACTAAACATGGAGCCCCAAGCCGGGGGAAGAGCATCGCCTCCTCTTCCTACTCAGAAAGGTCTCGTGTGAGACCGCTGGCCTCAAGATGGGCTTCTATGGATGAAATACATAATCTAGTGGTTGTGCTAACGCAGAAGTTATACAATGGAAGCTGTATGCAGATCAGATCGTTACTGTTTACTACCCCGGAGGACAGGACTAGAAATCAGAGTAGGGAGAAAGGGAATTCTTTCTTGTCTCCCTGGACAGGAGCTGTGAATTGCTACTGTACCCCGTGTCCTCCCCGTAGCGGCAGGGCACAGGATCCTTGCATTTCCTTGGCCAGAAGCGCAGCTTCTCCTACCTCTTCGTGGTTCTTCTTGAGATAGGTCGCCTCCTCGCTCAGGGACTCGTACTGCAGCTCCCGGTCCGTCCTGCACAGGGTCAGCTCGTCCAGCACACGCCGGAGCCCGTTGATGTCGGCCTCCACGTTTTGGTGGAGGCTGAGCTCATTTTCATACCTGGAGCCAGTGAATTTCAGAGCAAATTAGAGCACTTCAACAGCGAGCCAAGGGCATCTCAGCTGAGAATGCCAGAGATGGAACTGGACTCTTCAATACACAGAGAAAGACCCTCCCCCTGTCTTCCCAGTTCTGTGCAGGATAATACCCAGTTATTTAATCACAGAAATTCCAACCACAACTCCCAAGGAGATACAAATACACAACTTGTAGGTAACAATTTTGACTGAGTTGACAATTGTTACTGTTCATCTACTTGGAGTTGGACATTGGTCTAGCAGGCAGAGGGATGCACTGCTATTTGTTCTAAAATGTAGGGCCGGTTATTTAGCTCAGTGGTGTGGCTGCCTGCCTGGCAAGCGCAAGGTTCTGAGTTCGAGCCCCCTTACAAAAACAAAACAAGAAAAGTAATAAGAAAATATACAGTGTGAATATAGCTAGCTGATTGTAGTATTACTACCCAAATTCTTTGCTTCCTTCAATCTTTTAAATTGTAGTTTATTCTTCTTGGGATGGAAGCAACATTTTGTTCAACAAATAAAAGCCCTTCTTAGGGCATAGTTATTTCCATTGTCTTACTTTAGCCGGAAATCAGCAGCAGCCAGTCTGGCGTTGTCAATCTGCAGAGTGACATTAGTGTTAGCAGCAGTCGATGAGGTAATCTAGAGGATCCAAAGGGAGACCACCACGAAGAAGTTTTCCATTATTACTTATTCTTTCTGGATTTTAAAATGGTACACAATTAAGAGTTGCATAAAAATTCACTTCCTTCTGTCATAACCAAAATGTTTAAAATTTACTTTTTAAATAATTAAGTGGTTCGAAAGCTGGGCACGGTGGTGCATGTCTGAAACTCCCCGATCTCAAGAGGCTGAGGCAAGAGGATTACAGTGAGTTCGAGGCCAGCTTGGACTTGTCTCAAAGACAAAACAAGAAATGGCTTTATTTATTCTCATATAGTCATGTAACTTCAAATATAATACTTTCTTATGTATTAATATATTTCAAAATAAACAATGGAACAGATTGTGTGTTAATTACATTGAGTCATGAATCAAAGTGCCTGTTTTGAGTAATGGGAAGAATTATTTAGTAAAACAGATCATAAGTACCAATTACAGATAACACTCACGAGGCATTTCCTGTTGTGGTCCTACACCTTTTCCGGGCTGTGTTTTAGCTTTAGTACTTCGCATAGTTTGTGATTTCCAAGTTTGTCATTTCTCACCTTTGCTTTGAGATCCTCGATTGTTAGGTGAAAGCCACTGTAGTCACGACTGAGTCCACGGCAAGATCCAGGGCCGTATGTCTCGTACCAGCCCTTGATCTTCACCTCCAGGTCGGCGTTGGCCTCCTCCAGGGCGCGCACTTTGTCCAGGTAGGAGGCCAGGCGGTCGTTGAGGTTCTGCATGGTCACCTTCTCGTTGCCGGACAAGCTTTGCTGATTTTATACACACTGGGTGGGATTCTTGGTGAGTTGGAGGTTGCCAAGAGAGAAAAAATGGCATCATTGAGATTAGCATGAAATTATATATAATTGGGGGATTTAAAAATAATTAATGTCTATCATCCCTGGGTATCGCGTCGGGTTATTTGTTATCTTACATAAAACAGGGCTTGTTCTATGGTAAGTTCATTAATTTAACTTGTAATTTTGAGTGAGTAACCCTTTACTTTCATCTGGAGTGAGAGTATTATCAAGTGTCAAAAGGGGAGGTTGTGATAGGCTGCCATCTGCTACGTAGGGTCTCAGTCACTGCTGAGTTACATAAAAGATTATTAACTACAGAAACAGTATTTTATTCCATGAAAGTAAAAAAATTGCTATTAAAAATATATATATATTCCTGGTAACCTCTCTGTGCTTACTGCGATCACACCATCTACTTCTTATCTTGGATAATGACTCAGATATCGCCTTGTAATTTCACTTAAAACTCATAGCTGCTTTGTCTATGCTAAATAGGAAAAATGAAAGATCTGGCGCTAAACAAATGCAGCAGTGAAAGGATGTGATTAAAGTCTTCAAGGAATCTCTTTTCCGATCCGGCCAGGGGCTGGACCAGGTAGTAAGTCCAAAGAGATAGGAATGAACACAGCACGAGGTGAAAAGCGGAGAACAACATCATCGGGTTACAAGAAGTCCAATAAGAACGTCAGACAAACAGTCTGGGAGAGGGGACAGAGGAAGTGACCACAGAGAGGTGGTATAGGGAGGACGTAGGCGTTGACGGACCCTGGGGAGGAAGGACAAGTTGCCGATGATGCTTTGGTGATTGATTTCAGATGCTGCGAATTCATGATATTAACTGAGGGAGGGGCAGGCAGACAAGGGCCTCCATTTTGGACCAGGTGGAGCTCGGAGTTGGCGGGGTGTCCCGGATGGAGATGCCTGGTAGGAGGAGCGAGGCTCAGAATGCTCACACCGGGAAAACCTCAGCCCAGCACCGCGTGGAGGACTGTTGAGGAGGTGCAGCTGTCATTTGCACTGACATCCACCTGAGCGTTTGGAGGTAACCCTGGTGCAGGAAGGGAGAGGATGGTGGCTGGGCTGATGTAGACCTGGGAATAAAAGAAAGAAAACGTGCAAGGGAAGTTCCTGGCACTCCTGAGAGACAACCACAGATTGATTGTGTACATATAGAGAGGGGAAAGTGACAGCAGAGGGGCGAACAGTCTGAGGTAAATCTGAGTCATCACTGTAACAGGCATACATGTGAGGAGGAGACGGATAAAGGCAGGCAGGCTCGATCGCTGTATTGGGGCATTTACTGTTGCTATGATAAAATACTCGATGCTGGGTTTCTTACAAAGAAAATCGGTTGACTTAGCTGACAGTGCCGGAAGCTGAAGGCCCAGAACTGGGCAGCTCCACCCGGCTGGCCTTGGAGAGGGTCCCTCAGTTGCTTCACAGCATGGCAGAGAAGTGGGAAGGGGCAGGTGCGTGCAGTGGCCTTGCTTTAAAGCAGCCCATTTTTTCAACAACTAACTGGGGTCCCAAAAGCAAAAGTGACATTGATCCTTTCCCTGGGCAACGCACCTACTGAACGAACAGTCTTCCACCAGGTCCTCCCTCTTAAGGTGTTATTGTCACTACTCATCCTTATTCAGTACTAATTATTCATTCTAGTCACTTGTTATTAATTATTAAATAATTAGACCCCTAATTGTGCAACGTGCCTGTATTTCCATAGGTAAGTGAATGTTTCCAAAGGAACCTTTTACAACAAAAAGGGGAACGAAGATTTTTATACTTGAAACTTGCTAAGAGAAGAGATTTTAAGGGTCCTCACCAGGGAGAGGCGGTGTGTGATTTGTTAGGGTTAGCATTCGCGCAGCGTACACTCATTCGAAGATACTATGCCCCGGCAGCGAAATAAAAACTTTTCCACCGTACATGTCCTCCACCCTATTTCCACCAGGGGGCAGTGCTCACCCGCGAATAAAGGCAGCTCAAGGGCTTGGCTTGGATCTCAGCCCGGGCCCTGAGTGCCCTCACGTGGGACAGGCTAGGATAGAAAGCAAGGCCAGCATTTGTATTTTGAAGGTCGAGAGCACGATGAATATGAAGACAAAAGTGCCTTTCACTGGCAGAAGGAAGCTTGGCAGCGTCCAGAGGGGTTTCCTTATTTGGTCCTTACTAGGAAGCCTGGATTTGGGAAGAGAGAGGTTCGTTATGCACTCAAGGAACATTTAATGATCACCTATTAAGTGCCAGGCATTGTGCTGGTAGCAAGCGACTGGGAGGAGGACAGATGGCTTCTCAAATCTTGGGGACTCCCTGTTGATCCGGAAGACGGTCCCTCAGGAAATAACTGTAACCTTATAAATTGTGTTGGAAATTAGGGAAGAGAAGGTTGTGGAACTTTTAGGGGAGGCTCTGGGAAGGCCCTGGGAGAGAGCTCGCAAGGCCGGAGGAGAAGACGGCACAGGGAGGGGACAGGCGTCAGGGCAGTGATGGTGTCGGCGGAAGAGGGTGGCACTGGGAGAGTTATGGAGAAGTCTCCACTGCTCCTGAGAATGGAGGCTCCTGGGGGCCCCTGAGGAAGTTCGCATCCCGATCTGCAGATCCCGGCCACACGCTGCCTTACCTGACGGAGGGCTTTACTGATGTGGCTCAGCTAATCAAACAAAGACTGCTGGGATCTCACTGGGTGAATCCCAGGCATGAAGTCGGTGCCTGTGGGCTGCATTTGTAACCATGCCTGGTTCTGGAATTTACTTCCCACCTTGGTGATTCAGTGTCCACATCCCCCCAGGCTCAGTTTGAGGGCCACCTCTGGGGGTAACCCTTCCCCGGAGCACCTTTCCGATTTGGAAGCCACAGTGCCTTGTTCGTGACCCTGGACCCTGGACACACACATCTGCCATGGCACAGATGCAGGGGTGGCTCCTTCCGGGGCCTAGCATGCTGCCTGATGCTCAGCGGTGATTGTCAAATAACTGAGTGAGTGACTGAATGAATTTGACCCACTGAGTTAAACGCTCAGGGGCCCTGAACTTTTCCCTCCTCCCTGCAGGATTCCAGGATTGGTTACTTTGAGGTGAATTTCCTGCGGTTCCACCGCGCTGTCCATGGTTCCCGAGCTCTGTCCTTTCTCGGACACAGCTGTTTCGCCTGCTCTTTTCTCTCTTGCTGGGCGGGAGAGGCTCTTTGCAACAACGTTTGCAACTTTTACTGAGCTCCTTTCCCGAGCTGTGCACCCCAGACTTTACCTTTTCTCTTGGTGCCAGAGAAATAAGGAAAGAGAGCAGCCCCGGGAAAGCCCTGGAAGGCACTGGAGGGATGACCCAGGTTCTCATTCACATACGTCCTCCCTCCTTCCCACCCAGTGTCTCAAACTAGCTACTTTCAGAAGGTGGGGGGCTCTTCTGTAAGGGTGGGGATGTTTTAAATCAGAGTTTGGATATTGTCCCCATCAGAGAAGTACCAAGGACGCAGAGCTAGCAGAATTCCTAGCCCATGAGAGACCTGGAATGCTGTGGACGCTGTTTCTCTTCTTTCAGCTCTCAACACTCCTGGAAGGTACTGAGGGCCTTTGCTCCCCTGGGTGTGACTCCCTCATCTGTCATCCGCTCAACCGCGGTTCACTGAGTCTTAGCCATTTGCATGTTGAAAACTGCACAGTTCCGGTTTACACTGGGATGTGCAGAGACATTTCTCAGTTGGCCGAGCTCACAGACTAGTTCATAAAAGGGCTGTAAGGGGTCGAGGGCTCCCCAGCTGCTCAGGGCCAACACAAGCTTGTTTTGTGTTGCATTGTTTTTAGGGGGATCCTTGGTATGCAAGGAATGAAAGCTAAGCCCTCCATCTCTGTGAGGGGGAACTTCTGGGGCACTTGGGAGCTGCGGGCGTGTGCCGGGTGTCCACGGCTGCACACTGCAGTCCTGTACAAAAACTCGTCACATGCTCCCGGGACTTTTGAATTTCTTGTAGGACACTGGTGAGCGCAAGAACTTGTTAATTATCTGTTTGGAAACTAGTTTGTGTAAAAACACGAGGATTTTTTTTTTTTTTTTTGGCATGGCTGTAGCTGAATTTTCCATTTCATCGAGCTAAATATATATTGTGCATGGAAATGTCAGATAGTAGAGACTCATGCGTATATTACAAATCACTTAAAATAGGTCTATACATCTTAGGTGTGCCTGCTTAAAATATTTCTACAGATTAGTCACCTGTAGTAAAAATGCCTAGCAACCACTGCTATAAAGAAAAGAGCTCTAGGCTTGAGATCAGAACCCCTGGGTTCAGGATGTCTCTTGCCCTCCGTGAGGTTTTGGGAAACTCATCAAGAGGTTCTGATTTGTGCACATGTCCCAAGTCTGTTCCGATCCCGAGGTGTAAGTGTTGGGAGAGTTGTAAAGGTCTGTGTGCACAGGCAGAGTGCAGTTGTTCTATATCATTAGTCACACGGATGAAGACTCCCTTTGTACGCCCTCGCAGTGTAACACAGTACAGGGGATAACTGAATAGACACTATTCAAAAACATACTTACATGCAGTAGGGGCTCGTAGCCGTCTATGTGCTTTTTTCCTAATTAGAACAGAGCGGAAATTCCACTGGGTTACAGTATTTCATCGCTTCCATCTTAACAATTTCCTCCAATGAGTAAATAGAAAGCGTGGCACTTCCACTGAGACGTGATCTTGGCTTTTATCAACAGTTTTCAAGAGGATAATCAACTCTACTGACAAGGAGAAAGAAACATAAAGAAAAACCAGGCGAGGTGACTTTCAGAAAGCATAGGTCGTCCGGGAGAATCTCAGCTGCGTAAGAAGCATTGGCCTTAAAAGTCGTCATGGCAAACTGGGCATATTTCTGTGTGGTCCTTTCTACTCTGTGATCTGAGAAGTTGTTGCTACTACTTACAGCCTTGCTCTTTGAAGTCGGCCAATTCTGCCTCATTTTATCCCCATGGGCCTGCTGAAGGACCAGTGATCAACTTCTGATGCATACTGAGAGCCAAGTTTCATGACAGACATTGGGCTCACACCAATTCCAGTTGTTTAAAAGAGGCAGAAAGACAATGGATGCATCGAGGGAGAAGTAGGTGAAAGAAAATCGGGCGGCCAGCAGTAGTGAGAGTGCTATTTTGTTCCTTTCCCAAGGGGATGATTTGGAAGATGCACTTGCGGTTGGAGAAAGACCTTGGCAGGGGAAAGGGAAAGGTGAGGGTTGTGTCGAAATGGGAGGAGACACCTGCTATGAGTCTTTCTGTTTCTTTTGGCTTCCTGTCAAGTAGCAATTATCTGCCAACTCCCTCTCTCTTTTCCCACAGTAAGCAACCTGTCCAAATGTCACTCATCCACATTTCTAAACCCACTATTAAAATAAAATTCCAGGAGAACCAGGAGGAAGAGCTTTCTTGAAAACAAACAAACAAATAATTGTGTTATGTCTTTTATCTTTTCTTTTTAATAACAGGGCACACAAATATAAACTTGTGTGATTAGAGACAGACTATGGTTCAACTTTAATCCTAGGCTCTGTAGATTAAGAAGACGATTAATGAAATATTATGATTAAAAAAATCATTACAAGGGTTGGGGGGTGTAGCTCAGCGGTAAAGCACTTGCCTAGCATGTATGAGGCCCTGGGTTTGATCCCAGTACTACACAGATTGTGTTCTTTTTTATAAAGAAATTTTCATGCTATATAGTCTTTAGAGGACAAGTTTTATCTTTTTGGAGCGAAAAGCACAGTAGAAATGGATGACATTTTACACACCGGAAAAGAAAAGGCTAAGTGTTTAGTCATCATTTTTTTATTTTCACATTTAAAAATATTTATTGAGGTTTAATGTACATAAAGTACAATTTACTCTTTTGTAATATACAGCCCTATTAATTTGGACAAATTCAGTTGTGCAATGACCACTAGAAACAAGACAGAGAATATTTACAGCATTCAAGGTTCTTTTGTGTCTCTTTGCTATAGTTTTGTCCTCCCTTCCCCTCCTTTCCCTGTGGCAACCTCTGATGTTTCCTAGCCCTCCAAACAGATCTTTTCTGGAGTGTCATGGAAACAGGATAGCGTATGTAGCCTTTAAATTTGGATTCTTTGGCTTGGGATGATGCCCTTGAACTCGTCAGATGAATTTTAGTCAGATAAAGAATTCTGAGCAGAGGAGATCCTGGCTAGGGTGAGGCATGCAGAATAAATAGAAGAGGCAAAGTTTAATAGCAAGTACAGCTATCCCGTAGCACATCTGTATTTGTCTCAAATCAGCATTACTGAATATGAAAAGTTCGATTTCTTTAACATAAGGAGAGTGGCGATCTCAGATTATGAACTGTGCAATACCTTCCTGGGACTTGGGCAACCGTATTGGATAACTGGGAAGACGTTGAACAGCAGCCACTGTAACACCATACACACAATAGGAGCGGAGTCCACAGCCCATGGTAGTTGATTCAGGGCTTTACAATGTGGAACACGGGGACTTCAGTGGACCAGAGAAGACTGGTCCCAAGAAGGCTGGCCAGTGCAAGTAACTATGCACACACGAAGAGGCACATGAGCTGAAACGGAGAATCTCTGGCTATGGTAGTTTTTGGTGCTAAGTTGGTTAGGGAAACTTGACTGGAGGGAAGTCCATCCCCTTTGAAATATGGCTCCTGTAATTAAGTTTAGAGCATAGGGTACATCCAGTAGAGGGAGTCCCAACCAAACGGTATGGGAATCAGGGCTGATTCTGGGAAAAACTGAAACTCAGATCAAGAAGGGTACTGAGAAAAGCCGCTACGAGGTGGACATGGTTAACCCAGGAAACCACAACGGAACCCAATCTTAAGGGCACACAGCACCTGTGCCCTCCCTCATTACACTCAGAGAGCTCCCTAGCACAGTAAGAATACTAAGAATGTCAGTGCGACTCTTATGGGCTGAGGGATGTGACTAGGTTGACCCGGAAAATACGAGGCCTTTAGTTTTGACCACTGGGAAAAGTTGGAGGAAAGCAGAGACCTAGCAATATCTCTTGGTCACAGGGCACGGCCTGACACACACCAAACATTTTGTTGACTATGATACAACTTTACGGAGTTAGTGTTGAAAGATTATCTCTGAAGCAGCATGACATTTTGGAAGAAGTAATAGAATAACTGGGGAAAAATAAGGGCAGGCAAATATGAGAAATCCAGTAATCAAAAAATGCAGAAAATTCCCAATTTTATTTTTTGAGATCTTGTTTGAGATATTTCAAAAATTTCAGGATTAAGATAATTTAAAGCCAGAGAGCTTGGGGGAGGGTTCTCATATACCATAATCTTCCATAAGGTATAAGATTGGGGATTTGGACATTTTTTTAAAGTGAAATTTCTCATATTGGCCTGAGCCAATCCACAATAAGAAAAATTCTGACAAATTTATATAGTTTGCATCAGTAAGAAAAGTTTATTGAAATTCATTAGTAAATGAGAACAGAAAGTTTTCCTTTTTTTTTTTTTTTTTTCCATGAAAGAACACTTTCTGGTAAAGTGAAAAGAGGAAATACAGAAATGACAAAACACCTTTGAGACACCTTATTTTCAGGGGGTGAACCTGTTTTCACTGACCATTAAGACACGAGGTTTTTTTTTTGGCCATTTCATTTTTCATGCATCTGTATATAATGGTCTGCGGAAAGAGAGGCATTGCTCTCCATGCAGCTCAATAGTAGAGTTTCTTGGTTTCTGATTCAACCATAGACGAAAGCACTCTACCATCAGGTGTCACCTCTTCAATAATTGTCTTGATCAGTCTGGTTTTGTTAGTATCTGTGTGAATAAGGAAAACAAGTTTAGATTAAGCCACTTTTAGGGATTTTGCGAATTGAAAAATATATTACATGTTTTAAAAAGAAGAAACTCAACTTTTTTGGTTTTTTTTAAAAAAAATTTTATCCAAACAATATTGACGCTGTGAGTAGCATTTAGACCAGGCTATTTTTCGTTCACAACTGGTATCAGAGTACAGATGGTTTAAAGGTACAAATGAAAACCATCTAGATTTTCATTTTTAAAGCCGCTCCAGAGGTTAAAAGGCAACAACACCGCCAGAGAAGTTAAAACTGATTCTGATTACCCCAGCTAGTTTCTCCTGACCTTGGTCCCTTAGATGATTCGCCAGTGGAAACGGAGGAGGAGTTGGAGGAGGGCTTGAAGCTTCCACTTCCTGCCTGGCCTCCGCCACTGTGGCCACCGCCGGAGCTGCCGCCTCCGAAGCTACCCCCGTGGCCACCGCCGGAACTGCCTC